GATGCTGGGATGGGCTTTTCACTGATGCAGCTGCTTTGGAGTTGCCCATTAGCAAACCCTCACCCATGCACCTACAAGTAGCCCTGGTAAACTCATTAGTTCACTGAGCTAGACCTGGGAGGAATCTTTTCTTGGATCTGTGGCTGGTGGCTAATCCAGGACAGACATTTGCTTATGTCTCCCAGGGAAAGTCACACAACAATGAGACCCGGTCCAAGGACCAGCCAAAGGTGCAACAAGCCACTGTACTCACCTGCCAGCACCTCCACCAGGACCTTCTGGAGGACATCAACCTCTCGGCCTCGGAGGCTCTGACACTGGTAGAGACCCGCGTCATCGGCTTGGAGGTTTCTCAGAGTGACAGTGACGGTTCCAGCCAGGGTGTCATCCGTGATGACTGTGCTCCCATTCCGTTTCCTCAGGAAGGCCAGCAGCCACACACTGTGTGTGCTCACCACACGTTGGCAGGGGCCCTCCTCAGCCAGCTGGCGACACCAGGCCTTGCGTCTCCCCCAGTGCTTCAAGGAGTCGTAAGTACATGATACCCGCAGGGACTGTCCAGCCACACCCTGCAGCACGGTTGTGTTGAGGGCTTGGGACAACTCTGCAGAGGAGACTGCCACTTGTCACTTCATCCACACACCAAATAGTCACTGAGCATCTGTCTCCCAGGAGCAGCAGACTGTGCCAACAGGATCCTGCCCTTAAAGAGCTTAGGGTCTCGAGGGGAAGTGGCACAGCTGGGATCTAGGATCTGATTTTCTTATGATATTTCCCAGACACCTTTGGAGTCACCTCCAGGGATGCAGGGAGCACAGTGTGCACGTGGTCATCAGAATAAGCTCTGGTCCTCAGGCATCTTCCACTTTTTGTTTGAAACAGGGTGTCTTACCAGTGTGCAAGATAGTTAACATTCATGGTCAACTTGACAGGCTCTAGAATCATCGAGAGGGCAAACTTCTGAGCTTGCCTGTGAGGGACTTTTTAGATCAAGTTAGCCCATGGGAATACTGATGAGAGAGTACCTGGACTCAGTTCACTGGTGTGAGAAGACCCACCCTGAATATGAGCAGCCAAAGTCCCCGACTACCTCAAAAGGAGAGAGAGAGCCCAGCAGCTGCACTCGTCTCCCAGCTTCCTGACAAAGCATGCAATGTACCAGCTGCCCCCTGCCGCCATGCCTCCCCTCCAGGATGGATTGTCTACCCCGGCACTGTGAGCCCAACAGACCCTCCTTCCACTGAGTTGTGATAGTTTGCCACACAGCAACAAAACAATAACTTCTAATGCGGCTCGGAACTTCACAACGCAGACCAAGCCGGCCTGAGCGCTTCTAGGGATCTGACTGTGTCTGCCTCCCATGCCTCCATTCCTAGAAGACAGGCTCACGCCACCACACCTGCCTTTTCTCAGGGTTCTGTGGGTCCAAATGCAGGTCCTCACACTTGCAAGGCAAGCGCTGCACTGACTAAGCCATGTCTTGTTCCTCAAGCCCCTCTGGTTCTAGTTTAGACACCTTCTCTGCTGTCGTGTGGGACCAGGTTGTCTCTTTTCCCTTCTTCATCTCAGGAGAGCAGGTTAGTGGATCCTTGGAGCTCAGGCTGGTTCCCCGAGGGTCTGGGATGGCCACCTCCCTGCCCCTGCCTCTTTGCCCTCCCTGCAGTCATCCACACTGGATGGCTCGACTTTCCTAACCTTTAACTCCCAGCTTCCCTATTTCTGTGGCTCTGTTCCTCTTTTAGGAAGGACTTGTCTCAAAGCTATTTTGGGGGGAGACATGAGGCTGCTATTTTGGGGATCCTCTTGGGGTAAGGTTGGTGGCATTGGAGCACCCGCCAAGTTGTGGCTGGGGCAGGAGGACAAGGGTCCCCCCAAACTTTCTGCCGCTTGTGTCTTGTCTCCAGCTGTTACTGAGATGGAAACGTGACAGGCGGGATAGAGGAGCTGGTGGTCTGCTCCTTTTGGGACCAGAGACCTCCTGTGTGTGTTCTCTCCACACACCAGCCCCTCCATCCCTCTGCCTCCAGGCAGGCTAAGGTACCTTACAGCTCCCTCCACTTCCAGAGGCTGCAGGAACAAGGCACAGGGCAGCCTCCTCTCTCACCTGGGTTTGCCCATTACTCTTCAGCAACAGGAGGCACCCAGCCCACAGTGGGAGGAGCAGTCTGTCATTTGTGAGTACTCAGTGGTAGAGTCTTCAGCATCCCCACCTCCCACTGAGGGCTGAGGTCAAATATGGGCTGGGCTTTAGGAGGCTGCAAACCCCAAGTCTCTCCTCTTTTTTCCTGCTTTCCCATTCTGCCACCCCACTTATGCTTAAGTGCATCCACGGGTCCCACCTGACGGCCAGTGCCACCCTCACGACTCCTTCAGTGACCAAGTCCAGCAGCCCCTTAACCCTTCCCATGCGCGGGGGTTAATCCTGGGGAGGATGGTGTGAAGAACACGGGTTGGTGGGGAGAAAAGCAGAGCTAAGCAGGACACTGAGCATGCTGGGACTCCAGCCTCCTTTGCAGTCCCCTCCATAACATCCACACCCCCGCCCAGCCATTTGCTCAGGGAAGGTGAGGAAAAGAAAGCATTGTAGAGGGTGGGTCCCACCTGTGATCAGCAGCAGGAGAGACAGGTGGAGAGGCCCCATGGCACCCTTCCTCAGCCAGCCGGAGGGGACAGATGTGGGAGTCCCTTGTCCAAGATCTCGTCTTCCCCTTGAAGTGCAGAAAAGAGAGGACCAAGCCAGTCAGGCGCAGCCCACAGGAACTGCGCTCCTGGATTGAGCAACAGTCAGGACTAGGGTAGGCGCTATGATTCAAGGAGGGCATGAGGAAGGAAGGGAAGGAAGTCTCCACAGTGCTGGCTGAAGGTCAGCTGCCCTCCTGCTAGGGTCAGTCAGGTTTGTAGATGGCTTCATCTCCTTGCAGAACCTCATCGGGGTTGTTATTCTCACACTATAGCCAGGGTGTCTGCCATCTCCACCGGTCCCAGCCTCTTCCCGAATGGAGGACAGCTGCTTCTTAGGTTGGCATGCCACCAGCTCCTGATCACAACCCTATTGGGTAAGGCAGCAGCTAAGGACGTAGACCAGAGCCAGACTTCCTGTTTGCTGTGTGTATGATCAGGCCTGTAACCTCTCCGTGCCTCATTTCATGCACCTGTAGGATGGGACAGTTGGTGATAAGCAAATTTATCAGGGGCTAAAGGTGGTTTCCTGCAATCAAGGGTCCAGATGCAAGGGTTAACTGTGTCTTTTACCCTAATCAGCTGGAGATGGGGAAATGGGCAATCTCTGAGTGCGTTTCAAGAATCCCTTCCCTAGAGAAACGTAAACAGCATCTATTCCCTCTCATAAGGTCTTAAGGACAAACCAAAGTAAGATTCCATCAAGATTCATGCTGGGGAACCGTGGTGGTGTGGATGAGACTAGCCCCCTGTTTTAGTCAGTATTCCATTGCAATGAAGAGACAGCATGACCAGGCAACTCTTATAAGAGAAAGCATTTAAATGGGGGCTTGCTTACAGTTTCAGAAGTTTAATCCATTATCATGATGGCAGCATGCTGCCTGCAGGTAGGTGTGAGAGCAATAGCTGAGAGCCTGTAATCCTCCCAATCCTTTCAAATAAGCATCTAAATGTATGAGCCCATGGAGCCATTCTTATTCCAGCTACCATATCCTCATAAGCTCCTACGTTTGATTACTCAGTCTCCAGTTGGTGGAACTGTTTGGGAAGGATTAGGAGGTGTGGCCTCGTTGGCAGAGGTGTCTCTTTGAGGTTTCAAAAACCCATACCGCCCCCAGTGTGGGAGTCAGAGAGTTCAAGCTTGTCTTTGCTCCTTAAGGCTGAATAACAGGATGATTGGCCAAAGGCATGGTTACCAGATGTTTTGAGATTAAGAAGGTGTTTATGCTTGTTTGTTCCTTGAACCATGGTAAGGAGGTCTTTTGAGCCCCTTGCTTTGGGTATAAAAAGACTTAGAAATAAATTTGGGGCTGCTGCAGTATTCACTGAGAGCCCTCTCAATTCTATCATCTGTCTCTTATCTCTTTCTTTCTTAATCCTCACTCTCCTATTCAGGTACTGGTCTACAGGTCGGCTGGTCCCAACACCCCAGTGAATTCTTTCTGCCTCATGGTGGTGTCTCAAGATGTGAGCTCTCGGTTACTGCTCCAGCGCCATGCCTACCTACCTGCTCCCATGCCCCTCAACATGACGGTCATGGACTCCAGCCCTCTGAAACTGTGAGCCCCAAGCAAAAAATTTTTTCTTTAAGTTTTCTTGCTCATGGTGTCTTATCATAGCAACAGAAAAGTAACTAAGACCAAAATCAATGAGTTTATTTACTTTAGATTTATTTTTATTTATGTGTATGTATGTTTTGTCTTTCTGTATGTGCCCCGTGTGCATGTAGGTGACCTCCAAGGAGCTGGTGTTCTGAGAGCTTGTGAGGCTCTATATGGGTGGTGGGAACTGAACCTGGGTCCTCTAGAAGAATAGCAAGTGCTCTTAACCACTGAACCATCTCTTCAGCCCCCGCTAGTGAGTCTATTAGGCTTACTTACAGAGCATGAGTGACGGGGAGGGTTATAGGTGGGGGCATGGGTGGCCTTGAATCAGCTGCACTAGGAAGTCTTCATGGAGTATGTGTGATGGCTTCCCTGTGGTCATATGGGTGGAACCCTTCTCCAGGTAACTTTCCTCGAGCTGTACACTATAGTCCCTCCCCAAGACTCCAAGGCCACATACAATTAGGGCAGAATTGCATACAGGTGGCTTGGAGGAATGGCTGGATACTCAAGCGGCCTCCAATGACCCTCTCTACCCCCTCCTTCTATGAAGATATGTCAACAACCCACAAGCCCAGTCATGATGGACTCTGCAAGCAGGCAAAGCTTATTTATCTGATGAAGATGGCAGCTGTCTTGCTCAGAGAATAATTCTCTACAACAGAGGGGAGCCACTTTGGTTGCCCCGGAACTTCCTCCTCTGCAGAGCTGAGTGTCTCCCATGTACACATGGCTACACAGCCCAGTCTTGAACTTTGACCACCTAGTGGGACAGACCTGGCATTTCCTGGAGTTCTAGAGGATAGGGATTCCACAGGTGGAGTGTCCATGAAGGATGGTCCAGGCACAGAGTCCTGTGTGAGCCAAGGCACAAAGGTGTCTAGTGAGTCAGAGATGGAGCTCAGGACATCTGAAGGCATTCCAGTCTGGAAACAGAGCCATGCCAGAGGTCCTGAGGAAAGAAGCTGGGAGCTTGCGGCTGCGTTACCCGGCTTCAGTTCTGGCACAGCTCTCTGTCTGTTCTCATGGTTGTGGCTGCTCATTCCTCCTGTGATGGGTCATGTGATGGGAAGCGCATCTGGAGATGAGAACTCCTGGGGAGTAGAAGACGGTATTCCACAACAGGACAAACAGACCAGGGTGGGTCTAATGTATGGAGTGGCCCTGAATCACATGGGTCGTGTGTGTGTGTGTGTGTGTGTGTGTGTGTGTCTGTCTGTCTGTCTGTCTGTGTGTCTGTGTCTCTCTCTCTCTCTCTCTCTCTCTCTCTCTCTTTCTCTCTCTCTCTCTAACTCATGGTTGTGGATCAGATGTAAGCTCTCGGTTACTGCTCCAGCGCCATGCCCGCCTGCTCCCTTGCTCCTCAACATGGACTCCAGCCCTCTGAAACTGTGAGCCCCAAGTAAAAAATTTTTTTCTTTAAATTGTCTTGCTCATGGTGTCTTACCATAGCAACAGAAAAGTAACTAAGACCAAAATCAATGAGTTTATTTACTTTAGATTTATTTTTAATTATGTATACGGATGTTTTGTCTTTCTGTATGTGCCCCGTGTGCATGTAGGTGACCTCCAAGGAGCTGGTGTTCTGAGAGCTTGTGAGGCTCTATATGGGTGGTGGGAACTGAACCTGGGTCCTCTAGAAGAATAGCA